TCCAGAAATAATAGTTTTATGTCCACTGAGATGGGTGAAAGATGGAGTGGATTTTGCATGTTTCAAACAATACAACTTGATCTGATTCAGACTGCAGTCAAATTGAAGCTGACCTGATAAAATAGAGGCAGTAAAAATGGACTGCTGCTATTGGACATGAATGTAATTCTGTATTCAGAATATAAGTGAAGTCATGCTGTGTCTGTAGTTCTCATTTCATTGCTATCATTGTAACTCCTTCTCCAAGAAGGCAGTACTTAATACTTGGTAGCATAAGATTATTTTGTTACTTTTGCAGGGCAAATGTGAGAAGCAGGTACAGGATGTGATTGAACGATTTTGGGATTTCATAGACCAACTCAGCATCAATACTTTTGGTAAGATACCTAACCATATCATTCAGGGATTTTTGAGTTCATGACATGAACCTCTAAAGCCTCAGGGGGAGTTAGCTGCCTGGATTTATACCTGTGTGCAAGGGTAGCTAGTAGCAGTGTTTGTGATATATCGAAGTATATTTTTGCCTGAAGTTTGACACTACTGATCTCACCTTTTAAAGCTGAAAGGATGGGGTATTGTTTTGAATATTTATACTCCATTTTTTTCTAGGCATCTTCCAAGCTTGTGAAAGGGACGATAGCTTCTTGTCTGAATACCAAGAACTAGGTCAATTCAAGAAAAGGAAATAACAGTCAGTCTCTTTAGAGGTCAGCTAGATTCAGCAGGGTATAAAGTGGGCCTCTCAGTGGTATTTAAATGTCAACTGACCGGAGGGGAACACTTCCTTTCTCTGTCATTTAAGAAAACCAGGGGTCACACACCTCAAGCTGTGCCTGTGCTGAGTCACTCCCTGTGACTGAGTGGGCCTCCTTGGTCTTGATCCCAACTGTGCAACCCAAGCAGGTGTCACCTCACCCCAGGTGTCAGCCCCAGTGTCTCGCTCTGTGTTACTGGCACCAGAAAAAACCTGTGGTTAAGCTGGTGCTGTGTTATAAGCCCTAAACTGTATGTGCTCATGGCACCACTGTGCCTGCACAGTGCAATTGTCTGAGCTGCAGCTTTCAATCTCAAGTTTCAGAGACAAAGAATTGTTTCTTAGGTAACTGATAAAGCTATTTAGCCTGCTTGGATAGAGGCAGTTTTTGAATCTTTGACATTCAAATATTTTGTTTGTGGAGGCAAGTAGAGATCACATGACTGTTACATCAGAATTTGGTAATGGACTTGCAGTGTGTCTTGTATAGTAAGAGGGGCAGCTTGGCTGGCTCAGTATAGGCTGTTCCAAAACAACCCATATTCAATATTACAGCCTCACAGTATTTCTCTTCAGAGAACAACAGAGAAAAACCTGTTATTGTTACTGTTATTGTACTGGATACAATTTTCTAAATTTTCTAAAGTTCTTTCATTTTATCTTTGCTTACTCCAAAGTAGGCAGCCTGTGCTTCTCTGAGCAATTCTGAGGCTTCACTTGCCTGAGCAGTGGCTGCAGAAGGGAGGGATAGATGTGTGTGTTCATGAAACTTTATTTGGAATGTAACTGACAGATGTGAACTGGTTTCACAGGGAAGTTCCTAGCAGATAATATAGTGGGCTCTGTGCTTGTCTTCTCCTTACTGTTTTGGATTCCTCTCAGCATCCTTGTGCACTGTGTGGTGAGTAAGCTGTCTTTGAGATGACTGCTCTGTTGGATTTTGCTGTGAGAACACCCTTCATATGTGAAATGGCAGATGGATGTGGGAGAAAATGATGGGAAGCTTTTAGCAAACCCTGGGGGGAAATCCAGCATATGTAAGGCTTACTGCTCCTTCAGTAGGCAAAACTCTTGCTAAACTCTGCCAGGCTCTGGCAGACCCAGTGCTCCCATGACTATTCCCTGGAGCCTTTCCCATTCTTTCCCAGGCAGATTTTCTTTCTCTGCCTTCTGAATTCTACCCAAGTATAATTTTGGTATTTTTATGATTAAAAACAAAGTCTTCTGAAGCCCTGTGAAAAAATGACACCCATATTTTGAGAGGAGACCCAGAATGGAAAGTGATCTTAGTTGGTCTTGGGTGGATGGGTAAAGAGAGTCAAGCTTATAGCCACTGGGAGTGTGGACATGTGGTATGCTGGTGACAGCAGTGTGGGTTTAGAGCAAAGAGAGCACAGGCACTCCTGGGATGAATGGGAAGGCATGGGAAGTAGGGGAAGGAAAAAGACCCCCACAAAGTGCTGTGTCCCCGCAGAAAAAATGAGACTTTGCCATAGGGAAATTAACTTTCTTACTTTGTTCTGTGTTTTTCAACAGGACAAGAAATTGGACAAGCAGTATGAGGAGAACACAAAATCCCTGTTTTGCCCCAGTGTAAGTTGCTATCTAAGTCTGGATTGGCAGAATGCTGTCCCGTGTGCTTTGGAAAACCTGAACATCAGGTGTCTGCAGAGTATTTACTAAAAGAGTAGTAAGAGAGAGCTCCAGAGCCCCATGCTGCAGAGGGGTGAATGCATGTGAGGAGAAGCTGGTTTCTGAAAAAGCCTCTGTTCACTCTTACCAAGCACTGCAGCATGGCAGGATCTGATTCTTCCTTCTTGTAAGAGCTGAGCCTTGTTGGCAGAGCCCCTCTGGTGCAGCAGAGAGGGGCAGGAAGCCCTCTGGGGCTGGAAGCCACTCTGCTCTGCAGAGCATAGCTTGACCCATGTCTGGCATCCCCTTGGCACAGCACACGCGGCAGCACCAGCCACAGGCTGCTTGTTCACAACCAAGTGGAGTCACTGAAGCATATGGCTCAAAAATCTCTGCAAAATGCAGTGTCTTTGCTGTAGAATGGCTGTTTGCAGGAGTTGGCTTCTAGCACCCAGATGTGCTATAGCCTTCCAGTTGCTCAAGGGGCCCATCAGTAGCACTTCTCACCTTGCAGATCCTGAGCTGGGAGAGGGAAAGAGCAAAAAATTGCCAAGATAAATTTTAATTATAGTCCAGCACAGGGCACCTTGTGACATAGTTTTGGGTATCCTTTCCTGTGCTTTGACAATCCAGTTCCTGTTAAGAACTGAAATATTCAGTTAAGGAAATGTTGTTCTGTGAGGGGAAGGAGGAAAAAAGCCTTGCAGAGCTCTTCTTTGTACAATCATTGGAGAAAGCATACTGAAGTTGGAGACCACTGAGACAGTGTGCCTCTGTCATCTACTGTGACAGAACAGAGGGTGATCTTAGTTCAAGTGCCCCATAGTTGTGCCATGAGAAAAGTTATCTTAGTGCTTCTTACCTGTATTCAATTGAGAAAATCCCAGAGGCAGGAGAGCACAGGTATAGCCAATGGTCTCCTTGCACCAGGCAAAAGTTTAACGAACAGATTTTGTGTCTTTTGCATCTGCTGAGGATGGAGCAGCTGGGAAATGGTAGCAGGTAAACATCTCAGCCTTCCCAGTATTAGCATTTGTGGAGGTCCTTGGGGATTTCTTTTATGCCTAGAGATCTCTGGATATTTTCCAAACCATGCTGAAATAGAAGCAGACATCAATGGACTTGAATTTAATCAGGATTGCAGATTTTGGTTGTGATGACTCTGGTCCCTGCAGTCTTTGACCCTGTGTTCAGTGCAGCTTCTTGTACATGAAATGATGAACTCTCCCAAGTTGGAGGACTGGAATAAGCTATACCTTGGACCGTTTCCCTGTACTGAGCTCTGTGTCATGTGGCTTGACCCTGCATTTCCAGTCCTAGGATTTGCCAAAGCAGTTTGGGCCCCAGGAAGGAAGAGCCGAGTCATCAGCAGTGAGGCTGTCACCTGTGGAGCTTTATGCAGAGGAGGAAGCAGACACAGAACAAACTTTCTGCCTTTAGGGAGTGGCATGGGGTAGCCTTTAAGCTGTTCTAACAGGAGTGCAGCTGCTCCTCGGAAAGTGCCTCCTCTCTTTGAAAAATGCTGCAAACACCAAACCCAGGGCTAGATGCTGGTTGCTTTTGCCAGTGATGTGGCTGCTTGTGTCTTGCAGAACGTGGAGATGCTCAGCAGCCTGGACTCTGCCTCCGTTCGCATCATCAAGCCGTTCCCCGCGGCGCAGGCCACGAGCCGGCACCAGCCGCTGCAGCCCCTGACGGCCGCGCCCGCCGCGCCCGCGCCACCCAAGCAGGACCACCAAAGGATGGACACCATCCAGGAGGACCCGAGCACCGACTCACACATCGATGAGGATGCCTTTGAGAAGGACCCTTTCCCAAACAGCAGCTCGGCCGCCAAATCTTTCGAGGACTTGACAGACCATCCTGTCATTAGGAGTGAGAAAGCTTCATCCTTCAAACTACAGCGCCAGAACCGAGTGGACAGCAAAGAAACAGAGTGCTAGTGTCCTGCTGCCTTCTAAATGTATGACTCGTGTCTGCAAAATAAGGATCTGAAACCATTTCATTTCTATAAATATAAATGTATGTACATATATTTTTGTGAGGGAGTGGGAGAATAAGGAAGTGACCTACTGCAGATGCTGGTCATGTGTATGACCTTCCTTAAACTACATTTATTAGAGCATTGTATCTTTTAAAAAGGAAAATCCAAACTAGAACTGGCTTGTTTTTGAAGCTTTTTGGATTTGTTTTTCTATTTCCTTGACCTTTAACATTTCCTTCAACCTGTGGTGCAAAACCAAATATCCTGATGGATATTGGATTGTGTATATCAGCCTTTTTTTATATTTTAATATTTTGTAGTCTGACAGCACTGATAGACAAAATTAAGGGGCTTTTAAAACCAAAATGAACACTGCAGTATGTTCCATAATAGAGTATATAATTTAGCATTTTAAGGTACGTGTAACCAAAAGCCTGAGCAAATGCCTTGAGAACAGAGAGTAATGAAACAGGTAAAAATACAGTGAAATGCATCATCAGAATAAAGATACTTAAGATGCCCAACTTCCATATAGATAAAAGAATCACAGAGGCTGTTAAACCATATATGGTGCATGAGAAATGCTCCTCTAGCATGAAACTGCTGCCTCAGTTGTGAGGCCGTCTTGTCTTGGTGTCTTTTGTTGGGAGCTTCCCACTCTGCACTAAGGTTTGTGTGTTGCAGGTGTCTGGTTGGAGAAAGTGTAAAGGAAGAAATCAGTTATGCAGATGACATTTTAAACTGCTGTTTACAGCAGTTTTGGTGCAGAAATGTTTCTCCAAATTTTAAAATAGGCAACACTATTGTTGAAATGTTGAAATTGATGAGCTCAGATTTCCATGGTCTCTGTGGCCTTTGGAGGCTCCTACTGCATGAACGATGAGAAAACATCATGCCATTGCAGGGGAGGCATTTGTTTAAAAACAGTTGTGAATTTAGTAAAGAAATAAACCTTTGTTAAAACTTGCAGGGTAAGAATAAGGAGGAGATTTTGTGAATACAGATTCTCACATGTGTAGTAAAATGTGATGTTAAAAACTGGTAATTGGATGGTGTCTTCTGTACACCTGGAGATCTGTCAGGTGAGCTGGGAATGGTACATGAGCATTGTTTTAGCTTAGTAGCAGATGAACTGACATAGTGGAGTCATAAAGCAACTGTCCTGGTAGTACAGCAGCACCTTCATTCTGCAGCTGTTTTCTCCCACAATAACCTATTGATAAATGTGGCCAAGGGCAGAACCATTTACCTGTTACAAGCCTGGACTCAGCCACAGGGAAACAGCTGTGGAGAGCCCGTGTTTTAAATGTGAGAGAAAGGAACTGAACCTGTGCTGTAAAGTTGTGTGAGTGTTCCCTCTCCTCCACACCCAAGGATACTTGTTACACTTGTACTTGAACGTGTGCCTTATGGTATTCCTATCTGACTAGCTATTAGGTTTTATATGCTGGTTTTGAACTTTGTTTGGGGTTGTTTGTTTTTTGTTCAGGTTTTCTTTTTTTGATTCAGTGCAACGTACATGTGTGAGGAGTTAATTTAATTCCCAACGAAGTAAAAGCTTTTTATATTAAAAAAAAAAAAATCACTTAAACAAGAGCTGTTTCTATGCAGTCCTTTTCTAAAAGATCTCCATGCTTTGGTTGTCAAAGCCTGGGTTAAAAGTCTGCCATGCAGCCAGGCAGGAGCCAGGACTTCCTACTGCTCCTTGCTGAGCTCAGATGCTGCAGAAGCCAGACCTGGGCTATTGATAGTGCTGACCTGCACCGTGAGGGCTGCCTGCTTCCTGCCCAAGCTGGAGCTGGTATTGCCATGTGTTCTGCAGATTCTCCTCAGTTCAGATGATGACATTAATGCCTAAGGGAGGGGGGTGTGCTCAAATGCCTGTTCAGATACCAAATCTGTGAGTACACGTTCTCAGCACAAAGGTTTTTACATACCAGGTGAATACCATGCAGTGGCACATTCTTGGGAGCATGAAAATGGAGATTTGGAGCAGGCCTTGGAAATCAATGAATCTATCCCCCAAGCCTGAGCTGTATTCCAGAAGCTGAAAGCAGTACTTGCATGGTTTGTTCATAACATCTAAGGCAGGAAGATCCACAGTTTCCCACTGGGACCCCGTTTTGCTGTTCAGCCAGTCTTTACTGTAAGCATTTATTACAGAAAGGATAGTCCAGTTTAATACTCATAAATATTTATACATCAAACTCACTTCTGCTTTGGCTCCAGGCACAGAAAATGGAAAAATAACGACTTAGGCTCCAGTTTATAACACTGTTACACAGCAGATGACAGTAAGTAGATTCCTTAATTATTTCAAGAAGCAAAGGCAGTCTAATGGGACTAACAGTGCAGGACAGCATGAGAGCCTCCCATTATTCTCTCACCCCCTACATAATAAACACAGCTGTTCCATATCAACATAATTGTTAATACAGCCCAGAATTATGGAGGGCTTATATCTGCAGTGATAACACTATTTGGTTTTTATGCTTGGTTAGTTGTATCCTCATTTTTGCTGCTATCTGGCTTGCTAGACAATCATTTCCCAAACCATTTTTTCCATACTTGTTGAATTTCATCTAGGTTGCAGGCAGTGCTTTTTTTGGTTTGTAAAGGCAGTTTTGTAGTTTGTGTTCTCTTGGCCAAAACCTGCATAGTCTGCAGTACTTACATGAGTTATAAAATTATTTTAACAACTCATTTGAAAGGTCTTCTTAACTTCATGGCAAATGACATACGGTATAGCTTTATCAGCAGAGATGCAGATCTCTTCTAGTAGTTTCTCCAAGCTCGTGTATCACCATGCCCAAAAACATGCACTGGTCTGAAACCTGTGCCTATACAGAAGAGTTGGGTATAAAGAAGCTGCTGCTGGTGCCAGAGTAAGTTAAATTTTAAAAGCCCTGCTCTAAACTACTCTCTTTCACTGCCAAAGCAAAACTTAGGGAACTGCTGTTCCTACTGTATTACATCCAAATAAATTAATTTGGACTGACACTAATGGCTCTTGACAAACTCCACACTACTGTCTCTTATGAGCTCCTCTGTGTTTAAAGCAAGATGGTATTAGTGCAGTCCCCACAGCTCAGCAAAGCCAGGAACTGCTCAGGGCAGCCTCTTGTCTCTTGGCCACAGAGCAGCTGAGACTCATTTTCCTCTGAGTCCTCCAAGGAAAGAGCTACTCATTCCCACAGCTATCCTGGCAACAGCAGCATGAAGAAAAACCACCCCAGGACACACCCTAAGTGGTCTCACCTTTATTCTCCCACAGACCAAGAGAAGGGGACAGAGAAGAGCACTGCTGGGGACTGCCCAGTGCCATGTTCCCTGAGGACACAGTTTGCAGCATGCTGCTGGATAATGGGCTGGCTCTGTCTGGGTGGCTGCCCCGGCTACTCCCTGCAGGGATGTCACAGAAGACTGGCCTCGGGGTTTGTGTGGTCCACATCACGCCAATAAGGAAGCAGTGAAGGAAGAGCAGACAGTTTGTTTTCCAGGCGTGACCAAAGCTGAGCTGCTACAAAGCTGTTGCCTTTTGTCGACAGATGAAGACCATCAGACAAATAGGAAGAGAAATCCTACAAGGGAGGTTAAAACTATATATTAGTGTATTTCCTACCTGCATAGAGATGGTTTTCAGTAATTCTTCAAAGACAGCTGGTAAACTGGTTTTATTTTTCACTGTTTATGTTAAAATGTTAAGAAAATGTTCTGATGGCCAAAATCACTCGTATTCATCAGTAAAAGATCATGGGATTAAGTGATGCAATCAAAAGTCAATAGTCTACTGCATCAGGGAGGGCAGGGAGGGAGAAGGTTCAAACTAGAGTTGTCTGCAGTCTCCTATGGATGAGTTTGGGTATTTGGTCAGAAGCATCAGCAACACCCTTGTGCAACCAGATCTGAACTTGAAATTAGCCCAACACTGCAGAGTGGGTTGGACAAGAAACCTCCAGAGGTCCCTTCCAACCTAAACTATTCCATGACTCAAGTCCAAGGAAAAGGCTATTTAGATATAATGTACTCAAGGGGATATTTGCTAACCAAGTACCATGGCCAGGTTGAATAAAGCTTTATTTCTCGTTGCCAAATATGAAACACTCTAGACTGGTTTTTTCCTTCCCTGAAGTGAAATTTGGATGTATTTTGTATCATTTCAGTGATAATGCAGCACCACCAGTTCCTCTGTGCTAAATGATGCATTTCACAATTCATGACAGTTTCAAGTATTTCTCATTTCATCGTACCTGATTCTTCTGCATCAGGGTCCAGAGGTCGAGCACGTCCGTGCCGCATTCCCTGGCGACCTGGACACAGGCCTGGGCGTACTGCCCGGTGGTGGCATTGCAGCGGTTCAGTTTGTCACCTACCAAGCAGGAACAAAGAAAACATCCAGCAACTGCCACTGATGCAGCACAATTTCAGTCTTCTGTGGCACACACCCTGTGTATCAGGAGTTAAACCTGCAGACATAACCAATCACAAACTAAATCCAAAGCACAGCAATGCAAGTGGCTGGAAGCTACAGCTTGTGAAGTCTTTTTCAGGACATCCTTTGGTTCTGAGTCACTTGAAAATGTCTCTTTTGAAGAAATGCATCGGGTTGAGAGAAGCAACAGCAACAAGCAGACAGTGTAATTCTGCTGCTCACAGCTCTCATCTTCTGGCAAGCTTCAGGTCAAAGCAGTGCTTAGATTTAAAACTCTCTTCATACACCTGCTAAGGCAGGTAAAACAGAGTTAAGTAAATGGAAATTTATTTACAAGCTGCCTTCTGCTTTTTGTCTGACTTCACATGCAACTGTTCCTTGCAGTAGTCCTCTTTCTACTTTTGCCACCTGAATGAATGCTCCTGTGAACATCACCATCCTCCTGCTTCCCATTTCTTCTTTGCTCTGGTATCTACCTGACAAAACTAGAAACAGGCAGAAAATTTCTCCTTGATACTGGAGGGCAGATGGTCTGATATTGCTGCTTATTGTACCCACAATACTCCCATTTGTGGTCCATGGTCTGAGATCACCCTATCTTTTGTTCCATCCCTAGACAGTACTCTCTTTTAGACAGACAGTGGCAGATTCAGTGCTGTAAATTCAAATTTCTTCCATCCCTACCCTATAAAAAGGATGTTTTTAAGAGGAAAATGGATTAACATTACAAGTGCTACTTCACAGCTGGAAGCCAGATAAGCAGCATTTGAGGTGTGCTCGCATGACATCCCATCAAAGCCTCCTAATGCAAAATCATATAATAATGGCATCTAATTTAATGCAGTTTAAACTTAAGGTCATCTTCAAAGTCTTACAACTTTGATTGAAAACATGACTCAGGATATGCAACACCACCTAAATCATAGAAAAGCGTGCCACAAAGGTACCAGCTCTGTATTTACCTGACCTAACTAAAAAGATTTTTATAAATATGCAAGAACTGGACAAGGTGTCCCAATAGAAGAGAACATGCTCTCAGGAGGTACAAACTGTCACTGCTGGAGTCAGTGAGATTATGGCAATTTCCACCAGCTCAGTAACACAAGGGAAGTAGTGCTACTATGTCTCTAATTTTAGAGTTAGCTTAAACAACATAATGGGAAATCATTTTACTACCTTTTTCTTCTTTTTCAGGCACTTTTATTAGCATCCTTAGAATATGATATTCTCTGGTATTGTTTTTTTAACTTTAAATAAACCTAGCTGAGATATTACTGCTTATCCAAACAGATGTGAAATCTGCTGTACCTAGTAAAAAATTTTATAAGGCACACAATGCCAACATTTCTTCCATCTTTATTATTCTGGAAGCTGCTGGGACACGATGGAATCTGCCTAGGAGATGTTGACAAACCCCATGTTCTTAGAGGGCAGCCACTTCTGTCAGTTCTATGCATTAACAAATCAATCAACACTCTGGGAAGGATGTTTGTACTTACTTGGTAGTTACTCCATGAGCTTGTCCAGAAGTTGTTTAGTAAAACAGCAGCCCTCTTCCAACAGAAACAAGTCAGAGAACATGACTGCAACATGGCACATGTGTGAAGGAAATCACCTGACAACCTGGGATCTGTCACTTATACTCCACTGGTAAAATGCAGGAATTCCACCCATCCTCATCATTACCTTACCTTTGGCAAGACATGCCTTTTCCCAAGCTGATTCCTGAAGAGGTGGTGGTGTTATCAAAATAATCCTGTCTGCAGTAATGTCTACTGACTTCAGGTACTGCACCATGCTCTTCAGGTTGGCAGCATACTCCTCCAAAGGAACATGTTGCTTAGGGTTCAGCTCTGTGAGGGGTGCAGCACATGCATCAGTGGGGCTGAGCTCCCTGCAGGTTTCTTACACAGAATAACAGGACTTCTATGCAGTTTGGCCATGGACATTCATTTCCAGTATGCAGTTCCCCTCAACCATGCATTTGGGAGGTGTGGTAGGAAAATTCTGTTCCTCAATACCCAAAGCAGACAAATCAAGAGTTTAAAAACAGCATTTCCAACAGGCAAATAAGGCACAGGGGAGAAAAAGCCTCAACAGCTGGGTTTCTTTAAGATGCTTTTTTTACAACTTCTCATCTTAGTATCAGAAAGTATGATCACCTCAAACCTCGCCTGAACCAAAACCTGAGATTTCCAATATTCTTGGATGCAGAGAAAATTTTGGAAAGTCCCATGGACATGCAGTCAGTCCTTCATGCACTGATATTGTCATTTTGGTTAGACTGCATCCTGCTATGCTCATCTGAAAGAGTATCCAAATGCTATCTTCCCTCCTTTCCTCAGCCCATCTTCTGAGAACTCATCAGCCTCCTTTAAAGACAGAAAAAACAGCTGGATGCCCAACTCCAGTTTTAGGCAGCTGCTACACTACTAACTTGAGCACCCTGAATTTACTTTTTTAGTATTAAAACTTCGTGACAGGGAGAGAAATCACTGCATGGTTTAAAAACAAATGAAATGACTGAAAACCAACCTCTGTATAAAAGAAAAGAGAGCAAACAGTTCCTGGAGAAGTAGCAGGAAAAGCCTGTGAAATGTTCTGTCTATTCTGCTAAACTGTAAAACCATTTTAAGAGAACAGGTCACAGAAAAAAAAAGACAGAAGGCAAGCTACCCTACCTTTCAAAGCACTGTCATTAGCTCCAAAGAAAATGGTAACTGCAACAATACTGTCAGCACTAGTACTTTCATTGATCAGTCTTGGAAGAACCAATTTAGCCCATCTGGTGTTGTACCCCGAGATCCCGCGATTCACAACATCACATTTTCTGAAACGGAAACACATATCAAAAAGAACATCTCTTCTCTGTCCACCAAAACAAAACTTGGGAAGCTTTGAACCATTCTGTTAGGTCATCTGCCTCTATCCCTGTCAGGAAAAATGAGAAAACTCACCTGAGTTTTCAATGGAATCGTGCTTTGAAAGTGCACACACAGGCTGCACATGTAGTTACTTTCACCATGGAACTAGAACAACAATCCTGACAATCACTAAAGAATTTTTAATTTCCACTCAAGCTTTGAGTGGAAACACCCAGTGAGTATTTCCACCATCTCTGGGCATGCTGCCCAGAAGGCAGTTCCACTTCACTAAATAAATAAATGTCAATAAATAGACAAACATGTATTAACTGTTGTTGGTTTTCATTTAGAAAAGCTGCATGCGTTTCTGCAAGCTAGAAATTACTTTTGAAATTTAAGCTCTTACCTGACCAGTCTCTCAGCAAGGTATGCCCCCCAGCCGTTTTCCTGGAAGGAGTACTGAAAACAAGGAAGATGGTTAGATCCTCACTGGAAGAGCTTGTTCCCCAGAGCTCAGCCCCACCACCGGCACCTTCCCATCTCAATACCTTTTGTGCATGGCCTCTGGCACTGCTGCTGCAGTGTTTTCTCCCTCCCTGCCCTGTCCCTCTGAGGTCAAGCAGTCCTGGTTTTACCCAGGCACACCACTGGCATCTCAGACAACACAGGGCTGGTACCTCTGGAGGGATGGACCCTGTGGTCCCTTCAAAATCCAAACTGACTGCTGTCGGTCTGTAGTTTCATTTTGGCCAGTGAGGGTTTGCTGTATCTCTGTGGTATTTTTCTACTTTGTTTCTAAGATACTCACATTCTGGAGAGCACTCAAAAATCCTCTCTTCATGCTGCTTTGGAGTGTGGTTTGATATCTACCTCTTCCATCAGTGGAAAAACTAATTCCTTCTCCTTATTCCCACTGCTGCACCATCCTCTCTGCTACAATTCTGCACAGTGAGTCGGCTTAGACACCCATCTCCCATTAAAGATAAACTTGCTCTCTGGTTAGTTACTTTTTCATCACAGCAGCTCTGTGACCCACCACACCACCCAGGCACCAGGGACCCAAAATCAACGCTAAAAAGCTGGTGCTGCCTCGGAGATGTTCACCAGGCCGCGGTGCAGTCACGTCAGTGGAGATCCTGTCTGCGGGCTGGGCGAGCAGGGACGCACCAGCAGGGCAAGGGCAGAGTGCGAGGGCCCTGCAGACGGCACGGGCTGGGAGCCCTGGATGAGAAATGCCCGCGACACCGGAACATCCCAAGCTACACCTTCACCCTCGCGCCCCTAACACAGCGAGCCCAAGAATTTTTGTGAAATGGCTCCAAATCTCATAGAGGCCCACCAGGCGCGAAGGCCCCTGGCACAGGCTCACGGCGCGTCCAGGGGGGTGCGAGCCGGCCACGGCCGCCGGACCGGCCCTCTCCCGCCGCTTGGCACCGGAGCTCACAGCAACGCCGGGACGCTGCTGCGCCGCCGGCCTCGGTACGAGGAGCCGGGCTGGCTGGGAAGCTCCACATGGGAATTGCGGGGCCGGGCGCGGGCGGGCGGGCACTACCTCAGTGATGGAGTCTCCGAAGAGGAGGACGCGAGGCCAGCGCAGGAGCCGCCCGCGGGCTCCCGCCTCCGCCAGCGCCATGGCCGCGGCCGGACATCCGCCGGGAGCGGCGGCGGGAGGAGGCGGCGGCGGCCTCGCCGCTTCCTCTGTAGCTGGAAACGGGGCGGACCGGGGGAAGGCCGCGGTTACAGGCCGGGTTCAGGTTCAGCCCCACTCAATCTTTTGTCGCCTCTTTAAAAGGCTCAGTGGCGCAGGTGCGCGGGGAGGGGGCAGCCGGGGACCCACCCCTCACATACCCCTTGTGCTGGCTGGAAGCGCTTCCAAAAGAACGCGCGCAATTTTATGGTTTTTATCTGTTTCAGAGAGACCTCCTTCTTAAGAAAATGCAATTAGCCCAGTTAAAAGACTTCATAACTACTTAGCTTGCTAACGACACAATTTGGGGAGGAAATTGTCGCTACTTTTGTTAATACTGCTCATACATTAATTCCGCTAATACTACTACTACTATGAAGATCATCCGGTGCAATTTTAATCAGCTGACAAAAGGAGGAAATAAGCGTGTACAAGACAGCTCTCTTGTAGGAAACGCAGGTTCTGTGGACATTTTTCAGCATGACATTGTCTGGCAACAACAGCTACCTCAGAGCATTAATCACACTGTGTTCGGAATTCTGTCCTGTGTCATGCAGTTTCTGATACTCCGTGTCCCTTTTCCCAAGCCGGGTTGGTCACCGACTTAGGGCAGATGGGGCCGTCACAGGTCATAAGCACCCACTTCTCTGGCAGGCGGTGGTGTTCTTCTGGTCCAGTTAATGCCATGGCAGCATGCAGGCTTTTAAAGCTCCAACTAACCTCACCATGCAAACGTGGATTCCATTTTCAATTGTGTTCAAGACTCTTTTGACTTCAAGTAGATACAAATGTGCAGGCAATCACTTCCTCCACAGGAACAAAATTATATGTGCAAACTCAGTACATCCAATTTATCCTCCAACTGGCTTTAATATTCAAAAATACAAAACTCCATTTAATCTTTGTAATTCTGTATCAGGTTACGAATTATTTCTCATATGTGCACATAAGAGAACATAAGCACAGTTTGCCTGATTTAATTGCACCTAGATGCACCAATACAGTTGTTATGAGCTTGCTGATCCATTATGTGAAATAACTCAGCACTTTCACATTCACAGAATTCAATCCTTTGACTTAAGAAAAATTTATTTACTCGTGAAAAATAGCCCAAATAAACTGAAAATTTTAAAGTGTTTTTTTGTTTTGTTTTTTTTTTTAGACAGCCTAGGTTATCTACAGAGGTCAGTATACAGGGCTGAGGGCATCATAAAGCCTCTGTGCTGCCAGTTCCACCATTTCGCGAAGGGATTCGTCATCTTCACTTCCTGGCTCACAGTCAACCGTCTGGGAACAGAAAGAGAAGGATGTTACAGCTGGCACGCCCTGCTCCCTTTCAGCAAGCAACCAACTCTCTTGAGGGGAAAGGAAAAAGTAGTCATGGAAATTATCAAGAGCAGCACTGTATGTTTTTCAGTGGTCTGCCAGTATGTAGAGGAGTTCGGAGAAGACCTAAGCAAGTCCTCTGAGGAAAAAGCAGCTTAATTTCGAGTCTCATGCTCAAAACTGCTATGTAAAATGTATTAAGTTTTGTGGATTACATTTCACTCTAAATCAAATAAAATCTCACAAGATTCAGCTCCTGGAGATTTCGTTTTATCTGTGAATTTGCTCACACTGTATTGGATTAACACTGCAAAGCACATGCAGTCACTAGAGGTACAGGCACCACACCAATGTTCCCACACACTTGATGATATTTACACAAAAATAATCCAAATATATTAATTTTTCAATAAAACAAATTTTCCTAGAGAAGGATGCCCACCCCAAATGTGAAACTTGATCTACATTCCTGACTGCTCTACCTCAGAAACAAAGGGCAGCATTTGAGTAGTAATACTGTTCTTGGTCCTGTGGCCTTTCTACACTCTAAGACTATACCTCCTTTAATTCAGGATTAACTTGTTACTCTTCTGATCAAGTAACTCTTTCCAACCATAAAGGTTTGGATGAGAAAAGGCACTTAAAATAGCAAACATGTATTTAACATTATCTAACAATGTTGTTAAAGTTACCTTAACTGTGAGAGCACTGTGTTGACATGGAAAAAATAAATCCACATGTCTCACCAGTCAGATCTACACTAAACAGCTTTTTATTTTAAAGCCACTGAAGTTTTATAAGATAGATATACACGTGAAGAAGGATGGAAGATCCGCCTTGTAAAATCTGGTTCACCATGGCACAAGCTTGCCATTGCCAACGCAGACTTGTACAGTAACTACTACAAAGATACACCCTGTTGTAACTGGACTGCCATTGGGGTCACTACACAAATCTTCTAACAATAATGACGAATTATAAAAATGAAATCAAACTTCTTGATTAAGCAGTATGCATTCTTTTCTAGTCTAGTTACTTTATTTCAAGAGTTCTTTCACAAGTCCTGTATTTTTCTGTACAAACTGAAATGCAGCAATGTTTATTAAAGAACTGAAAAGAGATGGCACAAGTTGTGTGTTAACCACTGTAACTCACTATTCCCTTAAGGCAATTAACATTCATTTGTTTTGTTTCAATAGGTAACAAATTTTTGGCAGGGGCAAACCTTTTTTTCTGGGCTTGCAGAACACCTAAAATATTTGCTGTGACCCCTTAAGGAGAGCATGTGAGAGCTACTCCATAGAATTAATTTATATTGTATTATTACTATGAATAGAAACAATATACAAGCTATGTTTAATATGTTACTAATAATGACAGAAAGCCAACACATTAAAATGCTTAAGAACATGAAGGACATGGCTTTAACCATTCTTTACAGTTTTACATTATTCAAATAACTAGGTTTGATGCTTCTTAAAGCACACTTCTAACATGCATGACATCCAATTCTGGACCAAACTAGTAAATAAATAAAGTATTTCGTTTTGTGAGTATTTCAGGCTTTAAATTTAGCTCCAAAAGGATCAAGATGACAAAAAAATTATTAGCAACATTCCTACTGTTCAATTATTCAGACCAGAGCCATGCTTTAAAAGCATTTAAAAAAAAATTGTGGGTTAACTCAGGGCTGCTGAAGAATACTGGGGATTTTCCCAATTGTGCTGCATTTGTTGCTTAAACACTGCTAGCATTTTTTAATTAAGAATGCTCTCTGTTCTGATACCAAGTACATTTCCTTAGCAAGTGAGTACATGACAGTGTAGGCAAGACAAGGGACTTGTGTGCCAGACAAGGGACTGCTCAACACAGCACACACAGAAGTGCTTTGCTTTACATACCCGAGTGTCCAGGGAAATGTTGGCAGTCTTTCCATCCACTGTGATGCACAGGACCGAGTCATCTTTGGAACTCACACAGTCCTCTCCAAACATATCCCTAAAGCAAAGATCCTGAGTGTAAGGTGTGGCCAAACAGCCAACTTAGGTTTTTCTATTAACCCTGGGGTCACTTTGTCAGGTGAGGATCATCTTTCAGCAACTATTATTTAACTCACTCCAATATAATTAAAAGTATCAATCTTTATTATGACAGAGGGTATCAAATAACAGTATTTTACCAAAATAATCTCATCATAAACAAAGGGAAGGATTCCTTTGATTTTCAAAGAGGCAAGATTTCTACACAAAAACCAGAATACACATCAGAGAAAGTTTTAAGAGAGATGTGATCCCAAGTTGTTTTTATTAACCATTTGTAGCATAATTTTTGGAGACAACTTAAAAATCTGCTTCTGGAAGATATAACTGGGCCCTGTATTCAAAATTTTAATGGTGCTGAGAACTGTTTACCATACCTCTTTCTTTACTTAATTCCTGACCTTCACAAAAATTAAGACTGAAGTAAATTTGCATGAAGTATTTTTATATAACTATCTTTAAACCCTTTTATAGTAAGACTATTCTATTTACATAATTAACAGTGCTTATTTTCCTTTAGAAAAACATATACCAACTTACTGAAGCATGATCTCCATTCTCTTCCTATATACATCCATATCTATCTTTTTGGAAATCTTATTTACTGCAGCTGAAAAGAAAAAAAAAAATTACTTTCACAGGCATTTACTGGGATTGAAAAATGGCTAATTGATAGATGCTATTCACAAACTGACTTTCCTGAAACACAATCCAATAACTAAAGATGTATGTTTAAACAATTTATTAAAAATGTATTAAAAAAACTATGAAAGTCAAGGAGATGCATACATTTCCATTATATATTTCTGTACTTACCATATTTTAAAATAAAAAATTTTGTAATTCACATTCTGACTTTTTACTTCTCCTGTTTATTGTTAACACGCATTACACCTACCTTTTTCATTGATGGATACATAAAACTTTAAGTCTTTTCAAAAACTGGTTTTTGGTACTTCTAAACCAGTTGAAGAATTCAGAACACGGTCGTAAGTTTCTGAGAAATTCCTTGAAAAGCTTTACAACTGCATGTGACCAAGCTTAAATCTTAATAATAATAAAAAAACCTGAATAAATATATTACAATTTACCATTCCATAGGTAAGATGCAGTAACTGAACATACTAAAGAAGATTTAGTTTTATCCTGGAAATAAGGTAAACACAGGCACATGGTCAGCTAAGCAACAATAACTTAAGATATTAAAATATATTTTGTTAATATCTCTTTTGATCCTATGAACATACTGTAAAACAC